GTTTGGGTTCTTCTAAAGCCCAACTCCAGCTGTAGTCAGGAGCCCTAATACAACCTAACAGTTGAACAGAGTTTCTGGGACTTGTGCCTGGGTGATTCTCATCCTAGTGGTGGCACTTTGTGTCATTGGGTGTTTATCGTACATTGTGGGGCTGAACGCCCCTCATTCATACCAAAAGTGGCAAATACCAGCATAGAAGACTAAAATTTATTGGCTGCATGGCTAGATTTGTGGCTGATGTTTCCCAGTGTTGATGACCGGATCACCACTGGAATTTTGTTTCATTTAGCCTTGCTATAAATTAGAAAATTACTTTTATTATCATATCTTCTGCATAATTTAGGCACAGCTGAACCTTTCTCTCACTATTACAGGCACCAAGTAACAAACCTGGCATTCAAAGTCAAACTTGCAGTGAGCATCAAATATATTGCTTTGTGTTGCCAGCTGGCACGGCAAGTTTTTGTTTTGCTGTCACCAATGATACAACTGAGGCACACCTTGTAGTTACAGAAATCATTTTTACACAGGAAAGAATAACATTCCCACATGACAAATAATCTTCATTAAAATGTCCACATCACAAATAATCATTAAAAAATTTCCAATATCATGGATTAAGTTCGTAAAATTTTCACATCACAGATTATCTCCATTAACATTTTCACATTACAGATTTATCTGTGTTAAAATTTCCACATCACAGATTATCTTCATTAAAATATCAAGATCACAGATTATCTTCATTAAAATATCAAGATCACAGATTATCTTCATTAAAATGTCCACATCACAGATGATCTTCATTAGCTGTTTCTACATCACAGATGATCTTCGTTAGCTTTTTCCACATCACAGTTTATCTACAGATGATCTTTGTTAGCTTTTTCCACATCACAGACTATTTTTGTATTCCTGATCCGTCTACCACTTGAGATGGCATGTTTATGGTGTTATAAGCTGAATGTTTGTTGTACTGTTGTAGCCTTTCATCAGCTGCCAGTCTTCTTCTTCTTTCGTTCGCCATCAGCTGCCAGTGAAGACAAAGAAAAACTAAGTGGTCAGAGATCAATAGCCCGGATATGTACAGTAGTGTAGACATGAACAGTTTGTTGAAACTGGTTTCTGGTTCAAATCCATGATACCAGGGGAGGGAAGGGCGCTCACTGAAAGTAATCATCTGTAAGGAAATACATTTTTAAAACTCAGTTATATGTGTGTGTGTGTGTGTGTGAGAGAGAGAGAGAGAGAGAGAGAGAGAGAGAGAGAGAGAGAGAGAGAGAGACAGACAGACAGACAGACAGACAGACAGACAGACAGACAGACAGACAAAGAGAGAGAGACAGAGACACAGAGAGAGACAGAGAGATATCTACATCTCCTAAATGGATCTGGACAGTATGCTGAAGTCAACATCAATGAAAGAGTAAGACTAACCTATAAGTAAGACTAACCTATAAGTAAGACTAACCTATAAGTGAGACTAACCTATAAGTGAGACTAACCTATAAGTGAGACTAACCTATAAGTAAGACTAACCTATAAGTAAGACTAACCTATAAGTAAGACTAACCTATAAGTGAGACTAACCTATAAGTGAGATTAACCTATAAGTGAGACTAACCTATAAGTGAGACTAACCTATAAGTGAGACTAACCTATAAGTGAGACTAACCTATAAGTGAGACTAACCTATAAGTGAGACTAACCTATAAGTGAGAGTGACTAACCTATAAGTGAGACTAACCTATAAGTGAGACTAACCTATAAGTGAGACTAACCTATAAGTGAGACTAACCTATAAGTGAGACTAACCTATAAGTGAGACTAACCTATAAGTGAGACTAACCTATAAGTAAGACTAACCTATAAGTAAGACTAACCTATAAGTGAGACTAACCTATAAGTGAGACTAACCTATAAGTGAGACTAACCTATAAGTGAGACTAACTTATAAGTAAGACTAACCTATAAGTGAGACTAACCTATAAGTAAGACTAACCTATAAGTGAGACTAACCTATAAGTGAGACTAACCTATAAGTAAGACTAACCTATAAGTGAGACTAACCTATAAGTGAGACTAACCTATAAGTGAGACTAACCTATAAGTGAGACTAACCTATAAGTGAGACTAACCTATAAGTGAGACTAACCTATAAGTGAGACTAACCTATAAGTGAGACTAACCTATAAGTGAGACTAACCTATAAGTAAGACTAACCTATAAGTGAGACTAACCTATAAGTAAGACTAACCTATAAGTAAGACTAACCTATAAGTGAGACTAACCTATAAGTGAGACTAACCTATAAGTGAGACTAACCTATAAGTGAGACTAACCTATAAGTGAGACTAACCTATAAGTGAGACTAACCTATAAGTGAGACTAACCTATAAGTGAGACTAACCTATAAGTGAGACTAACCTATAAGTGAGACTAACCTATAAGTGAGACTAACCTATAAGTGAGACTAACCTATAAGTGAGACTAACCTATAAGTGAGACTAACCTATAAGTGAGACTAACCTATAAGTGAGACTAACCTATAAGTGAGACTAACCTATAAGTGAGACTAACCTATAAGTGAGACTAACCTATAAGTGAGACTAACCTATAAGTGAGACTAACCTATAAGTGAGACTAACCTATAAGTGAGACTAACCTATAAGTAAGACTAACATATAAGTGAGACTAACCTATAAGTAAGACTAACCTATAAGTAAGACTAACCTATAAGTGAGACTAACCTATAAGTGAGACTAACCTATAAGTGAGACTAACCTATAAGTGAGACTAACCTATAAGTGAGACTAACCTATAAGTGAGACTAACCTATAAGTGAGACTAACCTATAAGTGAGACTAACCTATAAGTAAGACTAACCTATAAGTAAGACTAACCTATAAGTGAGACTAACCTATAAGTGAGACTAACCTATAAGTGAGACTAACCTATAAGTGAGACTAACCTATAAGTGAGACTAACCTATAAGTGAGACTAACCTATAAGTGAGACTAACCTATAAGTGAGACTAACCTATAAGTGAGACTAACCTATAAGTGAGACTAACCTATAAGTAAGACTAACCTATAAGTAAGACTAACCTATAAGTAAGACTAACCTATAAGTGAGACTAACCTATAAGTAAGACTAACCTATAAGTAAGACTAACCTATAAGTAAGACTAACCTATAAGTAAGACTAACCTATAAGTGAGACTAACCTATAAGTGAGACTAACCTATAAGTGAGACTAACCTATAAGTAAGACTAACCTATAAGTGAGACTAACCTATAAGTGAGACTAACCTATAAGTAAGACTAACCTATAAGTAAGACTAACCTATAAGTAAGACTAACCTATAAGTGAGACTAACCTATAAGTAAGACTAACCTATAAGTGAGACTAACCTATAAGTAAGACTAACCTATAAGTGAGACTAACCTATAAGTAAGACTAACCTATAAGTGAGACTAACCTATAAGTAAGACTAACCTATAAGTAAGACTAACCTATAAGTAAGACTAACCTATAAGTAAGACTAACCTATAAAACAAAAGCACAAAATATATAATGCAACTGACCTATAAACAAATGTTCCTAACTTACAAAACAGCAGCAATACTAACATATAAGATAGAATGACTGACCTATAAACAAATGTTCCTAACTTACAAAACAGTAGCAATACTAACATAGAAGATAGAATAACTAACCTATATAACAGCAAGGCTAACAAAAACAAAAAACAAACACTAAAGAGCTGTTATTTAAACTTGGGGGTATTTTGTGAGTAGCGCTCTTTGTCTACTTTCCCACCAGTACAGTTCAGCTTACATAGCGGAACTCCGGTACTAAAGTACTAAATTATTCCAGCCTTCATATAAGACGACAAGATTTCTCTGTCTGCATTCCGGAGTCCACTAGCACATGTCATTGTTGAAGCGAGAGTATTATTATTATTATTATTCTTGAGCAACTGAATCTTTTGTTACGAAAGACAGATAGACGTTCATCACCGTTCATTACTCATCATTAAGTCTATTAAATATGGCGGTCAACAAATAGCTTGTGTAGCGTCGTCTGTTGCAATGTTAGTAATGTACAGACAGTTGTAACTTGTATGTACGAGGACTTGTTGGTACTTTAGTTATCTATAATTAGCTAGTTCCATACATCTTGGCATAGATAATCGTCTGACCAGTATAGGTATCATCATCATCAAGCGGCGCCTTGCCGACTGGCGTGGACGATCATGCCTCTCCACAATCCGTGATCTCCTGCAGCATGTATCAGTTTGTGTGCTGACACACCTCCATGCCATGCAAAAGATTGTCAAGAATCTGCTCTCGTCTTCCTCTATCCCTCCTTCCACAGATCTTTGCAGTGGTCACAGCATGTTCCCTTTTCCCTCTTCTCATAACATGGCTGAAAAAAAGATGATCGTCCCTTTCTGATGTCTGTGATAAGTTGTCTTCAGGCTCCCGCCTCTTTCTTGGCTGTCCAAGGCATTCTAAGCATTTTTCTGTAAAACCTCATTTCTGAGGCCTCCAGAAATTGTTTGACCTGCCTCCTAATTGTCCAGGACTCACAGCCATATGTCAAAACTGGATGTATGTAGCAAGCAGAATTCTTTTTCTAACCTTCAATGACAAAGATATATTGCATAAGATGTTCTTCATTTGATCAAATGCAGTTTTTGCCTGTCCTATTCTGCTTATTATCTAAGAAATGCATTTTCCATCTGATGTATAATCTATACATGATTTGAATGTGTTGCAATCAGTCATTCAGAGGTTGTTATACCATAGGCAGAAGCATAGCAAGACTGACTAACTTAATGAAACAGTGACTAACTACTAATTAAAAAAAGGATATGACTGACTAACTTAAAGAAACAGTGACTAACTACTAATAAAAAAGGTATGACTGACTAACCTATAAAACAATGTGACTAACAAATTAAAAAGGGTATGTCTGACTCACCTGTAAAACAGCTATAATGCTGTCTGTGTTGGAAGGTCAACAACAGTCAGTTGCAGGTCGCCAGGCGACACGTGTTTGGGTATTTCTCCTTTGGAGGACATGTGGCTCTGCAGGGAATGGAGCTGTAGCCAGACAGGGCAAGGGGTTAGGATAACTTCATTATGCATTTTATCTGATTAAAACAGCTTTATTCCATTTTTCTTTATCTGATTAAAACAGCTTCATTCCATTTTTCTTTATCTGATTAAAACAGCCTCATTCCATTTTTCTTTATCTGATTAAAACAGCTTCATTCCATTTTTCTTTATCTGATTAAAACAGCTTCATTCCATTTTTCTTTATCTGATTAAAACAGCCTCATTCCATTTTTCTTTATCTGATTAAAACAGCTTCATTCCATTTTTCTTTATCTGATTAAAACAGCTTCATTCCATTTTTCTTTATCTGATTAAAACAGCTTCATTCCATTTTTCTTTATCTGATTAAAACAGCTTCATTCCATTTTTCTTTATCTGATTAAAACAGCTTCATTCCATTTTTCTTTATCTGATTAAAACAGCTTCATTCCATTTTTCTTTATCTGATTAAAATAGTTTTATTAGGATTTTTAAAATCCGATTAGGATAACAACATTATACTTTTTATCTGATTAAACAATAACTTGATTACCCCCCCCCCCCCCCCCCCCCCCCATTAATCATAATTAGGATAATAACCTGATAATATCTTTCACCTCATTAAGATAACTTTATAATATTTGTTCATCTGTCATCATTCGACTATAAAACCACATCCCTGAAACTTCCTCTTAAATGTTTACTAATCTGGTGACTATGGATAATAAATATTGGCTCTGAAAAGTTCTTAACAAGTCTCTTTCTTGTCACAGAATCTTCCACATTTTGTAAAAATGCAGATTATGTTTGAGATATTCTGCAGATCACTCGTCTGTGGTCAAGATGTTATCTAAGTACTTAATGTACTGTCTTCATTCAGACGTTTACACTGATATTGCATTTTGGGGAGCATATTTTTTGTTTTGTTTTTGTAATTATAATTACTTTTGCTTGCCAACTGTTCTAAGACCTTTGTTTTGATTTTCTTTTCACAACTGCATCACTCACTTCTTGTAGCTGCATTTCATTTCATTGTTAGTGATCAAAGCTATGTTAGCATTTGTATACATTATGCCCACCAACTGACTGATTCACTGGTCATAATGATTTTCTTGTTTTGATTGCTGATTCTGCTATTAATAAAATTAGGACCTTGATGATAAGCATAAGTATCCTATAGTGAAACAGAGAACTCCAAAAATATTCCACTATATACATATGAGTTGAACTGGATATTTTTGCATTACTGACTACTGCTACTACTGCCCTGACAGGCTCAGACAGTACAAAAACTGGTAACATGACGGGCATCACATACATTTGGTGACGATCTGACATCTCCGCTGCCTACGTGGACGGTGTGACGGAAATCTGTGGGTAGTCCTATCATGCTGGCATCCAGTCTTGGCCTGGCTCTTCGTTTCTAGGCGTGAGTAAATGCATTGATTCATTAACATCATAATCTTCAAAACTGCATACAGGTAAAGATAATGTACTCATCATTTCTACGAGCAAGTAAAAGAAATGACTTATTCTGCAATACACACATTTGAGAAACAGTACAGTAAATTTATTTTTCTCCAAATCTCAAAGTGCCAAAGTTTTATTTCTAAGGCAGCACAATGCTGTAACTGTGGATAAAGAGCCGGCCAGACCCAGGTGCCTCATTCTCTCCGGGCCACAATATCTTGTTTCTCTACTGATTCCATTGCTTGTTCCTAAAGGGCTTGACCACATCTGCCTTGTCATGTATCAATTCACCCCCCAATCTGTCTGCCCGTTCATTTTTATAAACACATAATCTTAACATCTGATAATAGTAAAAATAATTTGAAACAAAAGCCTGATTGGTATGACTGCACGAAAACGTGAGAAAAGTCCAATTAACTAACTAAGTAGTAAAAAAATATGTTTCCATGTCTTGAAGTGTACAATGCAGATCACTTAAAGCAATCTCAGATGTGGCAAATTTCTGTTGTGAAGAACAATTTGCTTATCCCCAGCAGTTCTTCTTAATTGAAATCTTATCTGGATAAGGGATATTTTTTATAACAAGAACCATTTTTTGGGTTCTCGGTGAGTTCTCCTTATCAGGTCTGCACTGTATTATGCATATGGTGCTGGGAACATTTTTAAACAGCAGTAAGCCCTCAGTCCAAGCGGTGAATGGAGAGTGAGAAGCAACAACAAAATTCATAATCTGTTTAAATTACCACTGATCACTGGCACATGAAAGCTAATAGACTGAAATGGTTGGGGCATACTGAAAGAATGTCAGATGACAGAGAAGTAAAAACTGCATACACATGGGAGATGAACGGTCGTAGACCACAAGGCAGACCAAGAAGACGATGGAAAGATAATTTCCAGACAAAGCAAGCACTTGGAAAGAGAAGGCCAACCAGAGAAAAGAATGAACCTCAAGGGCTCAGAATGCTGAAGAAAAAGAAGAAGTCAGCACTCAGTGTGTAATGCTATTCTAAAAACTGCACCTCTACAACCTGACTGAAGACCACATTATGCACATTTAGTTTTTGTTTGTTCCTCCACTCAGTACTTGCACTTACAGCTTGTGGCTGTCCTCCAACACAGCAGGGGAAGCACATCAATGACACAGCCATCCAACCCTGGCTTCTGGGCAAGCTGATCCAGTGAGGTTGTCTAGTAGCAAGTTTTAGCAGCTGCTGAAGCAACAAACTCACGGATGAGAACAGGACAAGCTGATCCAGTGAGGTTGTCTGGTAGCAAGTTTCAGCGGCTGTTGAAGCAACAAACTCACGGATGAGAACAGGACAAGCTGATCCAGTGAGGTTGTCTGGTAGCAAGTTTCAGCGGCTGTTGAAGCAACAAACTCACGGATGAGAACTGGACAAGCTGATCCACTGAGGTTGTCTGGTAACAAGTTTCAGCAGCTGTTAAAGCAACAAACTTGCGGATGAGAACAGGACAAGCTGATCCAGTGAGGTTGTCTGGTAGCAAGTTTCAGCGGCTGATGAAGCAACAAACTCACGGATGAGAACAGGACAAGCCGATCCAGTGAGGTTGTCTGGTAGCAAGTTTCAGCGGCTTTTGAAGCAACAAACTCACGGATGAGAACAGGAGAAGCCGATCCAGTGAGGTTGTCTGGTAGCAAGTTTCAGCGGCTGTTGAAGCAACAAACTCACGGATGAGAACAGGACAAGCCGATCCAGTGAAATTGTCTGCTAGCAAGTTTCAGCGGCTGTTGAAGCAACAAACTCAGCAAGTTTCAGTAGCTGTTGAAGCAACAAACTCAGCAAGTTTCATTAGCTGTTGAAGCAACAAACTCAGCAAGTTTCAGTAGCTGTTAAAGCAACAAACTCAGGGATGAGAACAGGACAAGCTGGGCTGACAGCTCCACTCACCTCAGCTGTGGATGAGAGTAGAAGAGTATTCAAGATGGAGACTTTTCATATTCGGCTAAGCAGATTACACACAATACAACAGTTTCCATAAAGGTCTATTCTATCTTAATTCTTCTGCCTTTCATTCTCTAATGGAACAATCAACAGACGGTGCCCTGCAACAATCAACAGACGGTGCCCTGCAACAATCAACAGACAGTGCCCTGCAACAATCAATGGCTCTCAGATACGAGGAGAACCCAAAACAAAAGACATGTGAAGCAAGTGATCTGCTCAAGTGTTTGGTATCCCTTAAAACAGAAGATGGAATCTGTGTTAAAGAAGTTAAATGTAGAACAGCTGAGCCAAGTAATGTGCTCCAGTGTTTGGGAACCTTAATAAAGGCAGGTAGAATTTTAAAGAATTAAAATGTAGAACAGCTGAACCAAGTAATGTGCTTCAGTGTTTGGGAACCCTAGTAAAAAAGGCAGGTGGAATTTTAAAGAATTAAAATGTAGAACAGCTGAACCAAGTAATGTGCTCCAGTGTTTGGGAACCTTAATAAAGGCAGGTAGAATTTTAAAGAATTAAAATGTAGAACAGCTGAACCAAGTAATGTGCTCCAGTGTTTGGGAACCTTAATAAAGGCAGGTAAAATTTTAAAGAATTAAAATGTAGAACAGCTGAGGCAAGTAATGTGCTCCAGTGTTTGGGAACCTTAATAAAGGCAGGTAGAATTTTGAAGAATTAAAATGTAGAACAACTGAGGCAAGTAATGTGCTCCAGTGTTTGGGAACCCTAGTAAAAAAGGCAGGTAGAATTTTAAAGAATTAAAATGTAGAACAGCTGAGGCAAATGCAGGATTTCACAAAATGAAGAATATTGTGAAGGGGATGTTTTAAGAAAGACAGGAGTTCAGAAAGATCGCAAAATCTATTGAGAAAGATCTCTCATGGGCACTCACTGTTGTGACAGTACCAAAAAAAGTTATCCTTCAGCAGAGCTTACATTCACTAACAGATGAATGCAGTGTCACTAGGGTTACGAGTTCAAATTGTGGAAAAGAAACTGAAAAATTAGAAGCTGTGTTTACGAGTCCCACAGACAGACATCTCCACAAGACCAACAGACCTCTCCACGAGTCCCACAGACAGACATCTCCACGAGACCAACAGACCTCTCCATACAGATAAAGCAACAACACCCTTTTTTATATATTATTTTGACTAAAATAATAAATATATATTCATATAATAATAATTCTGATGGGCACTGGCATATTTTTAAGATACTTCCTGGTGAGTATCGGCACCTTATTTTCTAGAAAGAAAAAGCCTGGAGTCTACCTGTGTGCCACTAGCACTATATATAGTATATGCCCAATAATTGAATAGGCCATGAAAAATGGTCGTTCACTTTAGAAAACAAAAATATTCGGATAAGAATGAGTTGAAAAAAGAACGCTATAAGACAGTAAAAGTTCATTATAGGCGGAGCAGAATGGGTTAATCTGACAGTTGGCTAACCGAACGGTTGTCAGATTAACCCATTAATCCGAACGGTTATCATAACCGTTATGCGCTAAGCTCTAAAGTGAGAGACCCAGGTTCGAATCCTCGGTAAGGTTGGGGATATTTTCTGTCGGGGGCAAAATAAAATCCTCACCTGCACAGTCGTGACGACAGCATTAATCCACAGGCTCAAAGACCCCCTGCCTACACCGCAAAAGTGATAAAATAAAGGCAGTAAACTAGTAAGTAGTACTTAGTAACTAAAGTAAAACTAAAATTAAAAACTAACTTGCATCACTGAGAGGCCATTTATCATGTTTCCCCTGGCTTGATCGGCGAGTAGTCCAGCGTACTCTACTAACCTACTTAATGGAACACAGCAAAACAACCCTACTGGACATAACTATACAGACATAAATTTATGCCCAGTTAAATCCCAACCAAAAACAAACACAAACCAGAAAGTTTCTCACCCGTGGCGCCGACATGGTCCCTACTTCTGATGGCTTCACCCGGAAATATCGCGACCTTCACCGAGAGTTCACGGGATTAACCTCTGGCTCGGCTGTCAATCAACGCTCAGCCGTCTCCGCAATGAAGGGTTCACTGCAATAGGAATCCGACATGATCCGTCTTTCAGAGAAGGCGCAGACAATTTTCCAAATGCCACCCCCACCCCCTTTTCCATCTACGTCCCCTAGCCGGAATGTTCTCTTTTTAAGTATGCGTTTATACATATAGACCAACCTAATATTATTTCAGTCGTATATAATATATATATATATATATATATATATATATATATATATATATATATATATATATATATATATATATATATATATATATTTTTTTTTTTTTTTTTAATTGATCCTTAAACCATGAATTGTAATCCTTTGGCTCGGTACTATGGATATGGCAACCCTTCGGCCTTGATTCTATGATAGTTACATCGTTTCAGCCCATCCAGGTTCATCTCTCTTGTGCTGCCTCTACGCCTCTTTCCGTTGATCTTCTCAGTTGTCCATTACCATAAGCGTGCCGTGTCGATAAGCTTATGCTGTCATGTTTCTGGAATTACGGATGCCAGCATCACAGATGAGGCCCGTTTTAATGTCCCGCAGACTCCATATAGACAAGCCAAACGGGTATTTATCTTTTTACATCGTTATTCTTACAAATGTTGAAGGAATGTTGAATGTTAAATTAGGAATCGCTATCACAGCACTCGGGACACTACCCATTAGTGCCCTGTCCCCATCTTCAGCAGCAAACGAAGAATTCCAATTCCGATGACACCAGTAACTGACTGATTGTTATTTTTACGATTGCAAATTTAACGGAGATTCCTAGGCGATCGTGGTTGAAGCTATGCAGTTCAGACATTGTGTGACGTTCTCCACAAACCAACAATCGGTTCGGCGATGATACACCACAGCTTTTCTTTTAATGCTTTATACAAAGACTTCATTATCCATGCTTGACTCTTATGTAAGTTCTACATAGCAAGGCCTGTGTCATACTAAATAAACAATCAATGTTTCTAAAGGAGGCATGCATGCATACACATACAGGGTGCAGTTTGTATTGTTTTTTCCATAGGCTATCTACCGGTGTTGTTCCCTAGTTAGTTTCTAACATCTACACGTTCCTGTATTTGGTGGGAGTGGGACGGAAATGAGATAGAACCAACTCCCCCGCCCTAACAGGCATGTGGCAAAACCGCTAATAATTAGGAATATTTTGAAACGTGATGTGTTGGGCCTAAAATCGCATATATCACAGCCCAGCTGTAAACCACGACACAACATGTCAACCACCCTTTCAAGCACCAACGCAGAAGAAGACGATATCTGCAGGGATCTTGATGTGTGATCGCCATTCCAACCCTTTTTATCCATGACCATATGTGGAGAGTAACCATCCTGTCTCTAGCATACAGAACTACGCGACGAAGTGAACTTCGTTTCAATGTAAAGATTTCAAAACCATGACATCTATACACACTTGGAAATCTGAAACAGACCAAGACAACCTGGCCCAACAGAACAACAAGTTTCCCTAGAGATTATGCCTTGCAACAGATGGCCACAAGCCGATGTCTTTCTTGCAAACACAGTTTCTCCGCGCTTTCTTCGCGTCAATATTTGAAATCAATGACCGTGTCACAGGTGATGTTTCAAGTTTTCAAATACGGCTGTGACGTGGCTAGATTCAATTTCAACAATCTGAGATTTTGTTTTATTTCAAGAAGTACGTTTGGACGGTAAGTACAGTAATATTTTCATGTCTCTTTCTTCGTCCAGCCTGGCCGGTCACCCTGTGTTGTTGGGTGCTGTCAATAATTCCATGTGAGATGCATATTGCAAAGAAGATCAAGTATGCATGTGTAGTGTGGATAAAAAGCCGACAAGCTGAACGACACCTTCTAGCAGCGGAGATGTGGTTTTTGAGAACAGTGCAGAGAATGAAACTAAATGATACAGACAGAGAAAAAAACCAGGCCGCTCTTCTCGAGCCAGATGAAAACAGAGAAGTTAGGCGTCCCCAGAACAGTTGGTGTTTGTCGGACATGTTGTGGGGAAAAATGGACTCGAGAATGTGATGACGGCTTGCAAGACTAGAGGACAAAGAGCAAGGGGAAAGCTTACAGATCTAGATGGCTTGGATACATGGTTGGAGCGAAACAAGAGCACTGAACTGATCCTTGATTCAAGTGGTCATGTGGCATGGCGAAACAAGACCACCTACGGTTATCGACATGGCACATGGTGATGATAAAGATGATGATGATGATATGGATTACAACGATAACTATGATGATGATATCTCATACAAAAGAAATTTAAAGACAGTTGGATACCATCTGTGGCTGCTGGTATTTCCAAAATCTGTTCCTAAAAAGCGTGGATCAAACAATAAATTACTGTATATCTGTTCTGTGCATGTTGGGTAATTTATTTAAAATGTGTATGTCATTTTACCAGTTCAGCAGTTACGATAGACGATTACAACGCAATGATTTAGCTATATTAGCTGTCGTACTAATACATACTTTAGAAGACTTTATATAAATACATGTGTTTGTTGTAAAAATTACATTATTTATTTTTCTTTGGAAAATATATCTCTCTCTGGGAATCGCCTACTGATGACCTCTGGTTGTGTTTATAAAAAGTAAACGCAGAGCTAGATAGCGAATCGATATCTCATTTTTTAGTGGAAAGGGGGGGGGGATGCTAGTCACTAGAGGGTTTGGTGCCCGGGTACTAGTATCTTAAAGAACCCCCCCCCCCACACACACACACACACACACATTAACGACAAGCAAAATAACCACCCAACACCTAGATAACATGTTCAGGGGCTACCAATAGCTACTCTCCCCCCCCCCCCCCCATTTTTCTCAGCCGGACAGGTCAAAGGGTAGAGACACCCTGGTCCTCCATGTTGGGGGTTAAAATGTGACGCCGACACCCTCAACTTCGTAAAACGGTATTCGTCACGAAACAGAATCTAGGTCTCGGAGGGATTTAAATGGTCGTAGACTACAAGACAGACCAAGAATACGGTGGAGAGATAATATACAGGTAGTTCTATACACACTTGGAAATCTGAGACAGACCAAGAATACGGTGGAGAGATAATATACAGGTAGATCTATATACACTTGGAAATCAAAACTGGAATGAGAAGGGTAATCTCTGAGGTGGATGGAGACGGGTCATGTCTGCAGCAATAAACCTAAATGTCTTGGAATGTTGAAAAAGAAGAAGAAGAAAATGTGTTTTCTCTTTTCTGGAGTAGAAGATTAATTTTAACAAGCCTACTTATAGTACTAGATTTTCTAAACACTAAAGCATAAAGTTATAAACACATCAACAACAGAGGCGTATCCCTAAGTTCATCTCTTACCATCGTGGTATTTGAGAAAAGAAGAGATTTAATACAATATTAAAGGTTGTAATTTACTTTTTTTTTTTTTTTTTGGTAATGTTCAAATAATATATTACTGAAATGGGCAATGTCATGAAATCACTCAGAAATTCAGTCCTTCAACAACGATTATCATCACACCAGACTTAGTAGTTACAACGAGTAGTTACAGAACTCAATATTCCATACATGTATGTGCACGCAGGCAAGTACCTAGTATTGCAGAATGCACACAATGGCATTGTACCAACAACAGACCAGCTTAAGTCTATCTATTCTTTGGTATATGCTGGAAACAAGCATAGATGTCAGACACTACAGTTGAAAACTGAGGTTACACGGGGAACACAATTCCAAGTATGGGCTGATTCGAGAACAGACGAAAATTAATTTTCACAGGGGCACAAACTGAACACGAAGGTTCGTCTTAGATTCGATCGTTAATACCACTCATCTTTCACACAGCAACTGAATTGTATGTATAATATATGTTAGGTTCATACATCAGTGTGCATACTCTAAATACTGAGTTTGTAAAAAGAGTATAGTAATAAAAATACGTATACTGATACATAATCACATTCATGAACACATACGTTCATTTGTAAGTGAAAGGTAAAGGTCATATTTCAGACCTTAGGTACATGTTTTATATCGTAACTAAAGTAAAGGACTTTTCTCCACGTTTTTATTCTTGATGGTCATTTGGGCTAGACCTATATTTTATACACCAATCAGCACTCGGTGGGTGATGTGGTCAGCGTGAAGTTGGCCGCCTTTACTTCCCAGGATTGTGCCTGGTACCCATTTAAGACTGGGTCGACCTGGGAGCCAAAGTCAAGTTTGAAAACAATCTAGTTCTGTCAGAACCTGAACCCACGCCCTCCCGATCCACAGGCGAGCGTCTAACCGCTACACCACGTCACTCTTTGCATAAAGTGCTGGACTAATATTGTGTGAACCAATCGGCACTTTATGGCTGATGTAATAAGCCCAGCGACGACCGCCGTTACTTCCCAGGATCGAGGAAAGATATAAAAACCGAAGCAAAAGTATATCAGCGAGCTTCCCAATATAACAAACACATACAAAACGTGAACGTTATGGCTACAGTACCTTCGTCAGCACATACATATAAAACAAAACCACAAGAATACACAAAATCGCTTAACTAATGTACCCAGATACAGACATGTTGATGTCTTGCCAATGCAATGAAAAGAACACACTGAAAATGGGGTAACGGGCGGCTAGGGGAGAACGCAAGCGATAAAATAAACTGTTAAAAAAGGATGAATAAATGGAATAATTATTTAAAAGTATAGAAAATATTTTTTAAATCTTATAAAAACCCATTATGGTTAAAAATACAATACAGACTAGTGTGACTGGAACGAACAAATAGTAGAAGTTCAAGGCGGGCGGGACACACGAACTGTGAAGCTATAAAAATATAAAGGAAATATATAAAACTGAACGAAAAGTAAATCAGGGAGCTTTACAAAATAATATATATGGCTTCACATGAGTTCAATTTCAACTTCCCAGGATCAGCCATTTTGTTAACCAATCAGCTCTCAGCACCATGACGACCGTCGTTACTTCCCAGGATCAGCCATTTTGTTGACCAATCAGCTCTCAGCACCATGACGACCGTCGTTACTTCCCAGGATCAGCCATTTTGTTAACCAATCAGCTCTCAGCACCATGACGACCGTCGTTACTTCCCAGGATCAGCCATTTTGTTAACCAATCAGCCATGACGACCGTCGTTACTTCCCAGGATCAGCCATTTTGTTAACCAATCGGCTCTCAGCACCATGACGACCGCCGTTACTTCCCAGGATCAGCCATTTTTTTAACCAATCAGCTCTCAGCACCATGACGACCGCCGTTACTTCCCAGGATCAGCCATTGTGTTAGCCAATCAGCTCTCTGCACCATGACGACCGCCGTTACTTCCCAGGATCAGCCATTTTGTCCTCATTGAGCTTCCTTTTAAAGGTTTCACCTACTATCCTGAAATTATCAAATTTGACTCTGGATGGCAGGCCAACCAGGCAGATCGCAGACACCTTTTTCAGCCACCAGGGAATTTATAATTGGGGCACCAGAAACGGAGACACTAGCCGGCAGTCACTTGCAGCCCTATGGAGTTATGATGTCCAAGGGATTTCACTGCACCCTTCCTGCAAATCAAGTTTTGAAGAGAAAAAATGTACCACAGTGCGTCTTTAAACATGCAGCGAAGTGTGGTCAATTCGCATGTGTAAGCATTAACACATGCACAGCTAGCATCGTAGTACTGGATTAAGGTAGCTTTAACACGTTACCCTTTCTATGACTGGCATTAGCTTGTATGCGTATGCACCGAGCGTTCTTTTTGCTTTGTTTAAGTCGTACGCAGTGACATATTTCTAACAAATAGTAAGCAGTTGCAATAAATAGTAAAATAATGCACTGTTCTTTTGCAATGCGCTGGCAATGAAAAGAGTAATCGGTGATTACCGTCATTGCACGCACGATTGGCCAGTGAATTACTAAATGATAATCAGTTGCAGTTTGTTGTCTTGTGTTCAGGTCAAGTGGTCAGCCAGTGAGACAGCTGCCAACAAGAAGATGTGTTTACCAACGATGACCAGGCTGCTTTTGACCACCATAGTGTTGCATGTCGTCTGCCAGCCTGTACTTCGCGCTCAGCAAGTTGCTGAAGAAGAGGAAGAGGTTGTAAAAGTTAGAGGCATCCACGACATAGACTTAGATACCTGGCAACAATCGTACACGGAAAATCAAAAATTGCTAGTACTGTTGTGTAAGTCATCATCACTAGCATCATCATCATCATTATCATCGTCATCATCTCATCATCATCGCCACAACTATCACAATCAGTTTCGTCGTATTCTTCCTTTCCTCCTCTCCTCCTCCTTCTTCTTCTACTACTGCTGCTGCTTCTTCTTTTTCTTTCTCTTTCTCTTTTTATGCTTTGCCTCTCAGAACTTTCGTATTTGATTTGTTCTTTTCTCTATCAAACACACACTATTTTTCTATATACCCACGTCTCCAAATACCCAGTACAATTTTCTAATTGCCTATTTATTGACCAAGTCTCTGCGCCATACAGCAGAGTTGGGCATAAATAACATCTGATAATTCTAATTGTAATGTTTACTGTGTGTGTGTGTGTGTATATATATATATATATATATATATATATATATATATATATATATATATATATATATATAATTATCAGGTGCCTTGCCGACTGGCGTGGGCGATCATGTCTCTCCATAATCTGCGATCTCCTGCAGCATGTATCAGTTCGGGTGCCGACACACCTCCACGCCATGCAACAAGACTGTCAAGCATCTTCTCTCGTTGTCTTCCTATCCCTTTTTCCACAGATCTTTCCAGTGGTCACAACATGTTCTATTTTCCCTCTTCTCATAACATGGCCGAAAAATGTTGACTGTCTCCTTCTGATGTCTGTGATAAGTTGTCTTCGGGCTCCCGCCTCTTTAAAAATCTCTTGGTTGCTCTTTTTGGCTGTCCAAGGCATTATAAGCATTCTTCTGTAAAACCACATCTCTGAGGCCTCTAAAAAATTTTTGGCCTGCCTACCGATTGTCCAGGATTCACATCCATATGTTAAAACTGGATGTATGTAGCAAGCAATAATTCTTTTTCTAACTCTCAATGACAATGATATATTGCACAAGATGTTTTTCATTTTATAAAATGCAATTCTGTTTCTTATTTCAGTTATGCATCTTCCATCTGATGTTATCCATGTGCTCAGATACTTAAATTTCTGTACTTGTCCTAAAATAACACCATTGACTTACACATTACGGAATAATTTGTTTCTTTGATACCACCATTACTTCTGTCTTCCCATTATTCAAACTGAGGCCCATTTTTCCACTTTCCAACACCACAATGTCTATCTTTTCCTGTAATTCTTTCTGACTTGTTGCTATCAAGACTGTGTCATCAGCATAACGTAAATTTTTTATATTGTGCCCACCAACCACAATTCCGTGCATATCAATTAATGATCTCATTATATATTCACTGTAAATTGAAAACAAATCAGGTGACAGTACACATCCTTATATATATATAATTATTCTTGAAGAAGATATTTTTGGCTATTCTTTTTAGGGTGGGCGGGGGAGGGGGGTTGATTTCTGGTTCACCATCTTTTAAAACATGTGCAAACGTGTTACTTGTCCTAATATCTCTCCATTTATTGTGATTTCCTTTCAATTGTACAAGTTCAGATTTTTTTTTTTTTTTTTTTTTTTTTTTTTGGAATATTGTTATCTAAACCATACTTTTAATTCCGCATTAGAAAACGATATTGTAAATTTAGAGAAAATTGTATCACCATAAGTTGCGAATCAAAACCTGATGTTGTTTGATAACTCCACAGACACACTGGACAACTGTGAGCGATGTCCTGCAGCCCTGGAAACGCTGACCCAAGTTCAAGAACAGGAACTACCTAAAGGTGAATGACTGCCTTTGACCTTTGGCTGGTACCCATTGATTAGTGTCATTGTCTGCAGTTACAACAGATATTTCATCACAGCCAACATCATCAACATCATCATCAACAACATCATCAACATCATCAACATCATCATCAACATATTCAAAAACACGATCAACAACATCATCAACATAATCATCATCATATTGCTGTTGATACAACAAATGGGTCGATTTCCACACTGTATACTATCATGTTTATTAGAACAAGTGTATATACAAGGGATATTAGAACAAGTAACACGTTCGTGTTAGGAGGAGAAATACTGACATCTCGAAAGATCTGAACATCAAGGAAGATTGGCTAATAAACAGCATCCTGTCTCGGAAGCTGAAATATTTTGGTCATATCAAGCGCAACGACGGATTGGAAAAAAAAATTATAACAGAGGGCATGGTACCAGGAAGGAGGGGCAGGGGCCGACAGACACGAAGATGGGTACAGGATATAAGTGACTCCTTGAGTATGAAAGTACATGAGGCGGGAGAGCTGGCGAGGGCCGAGTTTCTTTCAGGCAGACTGTGATGAGAGCGACGTTCTGCTAAGGAACTGCTACATGATGATGATGAACACGTTCGTTTTATCCAATTGAACAAATCAATTGTACCATCATCATCATTATCATCATCCGGTTACACCTTTTTACTTCACAAAGAGCTCTTATCTTAGTCTTTTATTAACTTCTATATTGTGCTGTCTTTTCGACATCACGAATTGAATCCAGCCCAACTCCCTTTGACCTCTCCCATCAACTCTTGCAGGGTTTTCTCTCGAATATTTTCATCCAGGAACGCTAACTCAGGCAACAAACGCTTGTCGAAGTCTGATAGGCCCGCCTTAATACCGTAAAATCGCAGCCATGCTGCAAACGGGCACAACACCATCTCAACTTGGGATAAACGCAGAAGAAAAAGAAACATTGTCATTTCCGCAATCCATTTGTTCTCATTTCAATTTGCTTTTGTCCATTTTTTACTGTTGCCACGTTCAACCTGCTGCTAGCAGGTTTCGCGGTAACTGTGCTCTGGTTTCTGTGTGTCTTGTGAACAATTTAATTGCCCGGTTCGCTAGCTCAGTTGGTTAAACCTGACGGCTCGGCGATCGGGTGACGAACTCCTTGTGGTCCGGGTTCACAACCGGAGGCAGGCAGAAAAGCCACATTTCTCCCAGATTTACGGTATCTATCATGGAATCAAGGCCGAAAGGTTGCGATATCCATAGTACCGAGCCAAAGGGTTAACAACTCATAGTTTCTAGATATTTAAAAAAAAAAAAAAGCTAGCATATATTAGTTGTGCTAACTTTTATGGCCTTAATATGCGTGTGTGTATATATGTAGGGATGGTAGTGAGGTTTTATTTTTTGTGTTTTTACTTACGAAATTGTAACAGCTAGATGAAAATTAAAATTACAAATCCAATGGTACCTCATTTAAGCCTGTAAGTCGATTCTAAGCGGAGATATGAACATTTTAGTGGCGGACACCACGACAGAAAAATTGTAGTGGAAATCCATGAAACATGGCTTCCGGCTGCGACCCAGTGAGATGAAATGACTCAATGTTTGCATTTTACGGCCATAACTTTTTTGTTTTTGAACGAATCCCTTAGCAACCATATATTGCTAGAATCGGGACAGTGAGACCTAACCGTTTATGCATGTTTCAATTACATACACTACGATATGCGCCTATCTAACATAGGAAAATGTCTGCAGGCTGATTTATTTTTCATCTAAAACCTTATACATTTACAGTTGTCTGCCAGCGAGCCTGGCTTAAAACATATCATATTGTGTGTCCTGGCAAGGCGAACATAAAGATCATATAAATGTGCCAATGTCAGTTGACGTGACCTAATTAACAAATACCGGGAACCCCCCCCCCCTTTTGCAACAGCGATGTCACCCGGGGTGGTCTTTCTCCGCACAGTAATGACACCTGGGGTGGTTGTTCCCCCCCCCCACAGTGATGATACCGGGATGGCCGCATCCCCTTCCTGCTACCTTCTTTCCCTGGTATCTCTCCTCTTCTTTCTTTCTTTTTCCTCTTTTTTCTTTTTTCCCCATGTCTCAGTGTCGACTTTCTTTTCTTAGTCTCTTTTTTTTTAATTCCTCTCTCCTCCTCCTGCTCCCTCTCTTTCTCAACTTTCTCTCAATCTTCTACTGCCCCTCCCCCAACTCTCCGTTCTATATGGTAGAAGAAAACATGAGCCCACTGGTAGTACACGCCGTTTTCATAATAGGTCGGTGACAGTGTTAACAACAGGGCAAACACAGCAGGTGTGTTCATTTCTGGGAATCAGGTCAGGTCGGATTTACTTTTCTTTCAAAAATGACCATGGCTCCCATGTCCACCCAGCATTGAATGTAAGAAATAGATCTATAGCAGCCACACGCGGACAGCCAAACATGGGAGGGTTGCCAATGGGATTTTTGTCAAACCTGAAGCTAAGCTTATGTCAAGAGGTGAATCAACTAAACCCTGCACAGTAGACTCGTCGTGACGTTGACGCCCCTGGCGGGCAGGTCACATTTCAAATTTAAACCCGTCCGGTGGGTATATAATCAATTATTTTGATATATACCTCTATCTGGTGGAATAGATATTTCTATACCCTCTAGTTGTTTTGAAAAGTCTACATTTTCAAACTTGCAACTGTGGGATATATATTTTCTGGAGTAATATTCCGAATTTCTGGAAACCTTTTTACTCCTTGGTGTACTTGTACGGGACATTTTTTTTCTAGAGACGCAAAGCGAGATTAGGCTGGGTCATTCTTTGCCTGACTTCCTAGGTGTGCAGAAGTATGTCACCTCTCTGATTAAATCTTGGCGCATTCAAAATACCAGTTTAATCTTTGAAGGATTCCTAAGCTTGGGTAAGTTGATTATAGTTTACAAGTACCATGATATATGTCTCTATAAAGTTAGCCGCTGCTGCAGGGAGGAAAGATTCAGCTGTGTGACCGCACAGAACTAGGCCGTTCTTGGTGTCCAGACACTCAAGCCCCTGAAATCAAACCTTTCCCTTCGCAGGCTAATAGTTTGTGCCCTACCTGACCCACACCATTATAAATATATTAAACTCAGCAAGTTAATTATTCTCTAACCAGCCGACAGAGTTTGTGTCAAATAGCGGACATATTTAACTGGGTCACACTTCAGCCAGCTAGGCACTGTGACGTTAGAGGTTTTTTTTAGCACAACAACACTGGGTGTGTAGTGGGCAGAATGTGGAGGTATAAAATATATATATGTGAGAGAGAGAGATGGGATGTACATCTACAAGTGCAGAGGTGGGCGAGGAGAGTTGATATTCTATGTTTGATAGAGTCTATCTGTCTCTACTCTGCTACTCGTCTCTTGTCCCTGTTACTGACTGAACAACAGAGATGATATTTAGAGACTTATACTGTCTCATTATCCTGAAAACTCTCCTCTGAATGATTACTAATGTGGATGTTAATAAACTGAGCTTGACATGTAACCCCTGAGATGACTGCTAATTCTGAGTTCCTTCTTGATACAGGATGGTATCTCCTTGGAGGCCAGGCAGTGAATCAGCAGTCCACAAAAACACCTACAAGGAAGTCACCAATGTCCAAGCCAGTGGTGGGCATCCAATTGTAAACCAAACTTTTGTCATCCATTAGGGAAATCCTCCAGTTGGTCTATGGACTACATAATGGGTGTTGTACCTTCACCATCATTTTTGATTGACTTGGTACCCGAGATCCTCTCCAGGAGCTTGGGTGTATCACCAGTGTTTGAGTGTCTAGTGTGGGACTGTCTTCAACGTAACAACACAGTGACTGAATATTCAGCAAGTTCAAGAAACCAGGGATTCAGATAAGTGTGGTCAATTGGTTTATTGCCGGGCTTCACTGTTAATCGTCCACATGATCATGATGATGATCTAGGCGGACCTTGGGAATCTCTTACACATTCAGTCAGATCTGTTTTGAAGTTTTTGTCCTTCCTATCACTCTGGGTTCTTGAAGTTCTTTGCTGATTCTTATATAATTTATGTGTTGCATTTATTACATGTTCAGAAAGTTTCATTATTGACTTGAGTGTCCATCATTCACTGTTCAAACTGTCTAGCTTTTATGTTTGTGTGATTAGTAAGTTTAATCTGTGTTAACATGGCTGTGATAGTACACTATCATAGCCTAGGGGCTTTCTTGTTATAATAGTGGGGGTGTCCAGCCAAGTTGCGATTAGGATTAGTAGATATTCTGTAGTGCCAGAACTTAAGTTGCCCTACTCCTAAAATAAGTTGAGCGTATATTGGCCACGGGATATCCCTTAGACCAATGCGAGCCGACGCCTCAACATTATTTTATTTCAGAGTTCTGTTGGTTCTTAAGGAGAAATCCTTAAATCAGGCACGCGACACGAGCGGTTTGTGACAGCTTACCAAAAACCCAAGCAATATATAAGAAAAACAAAATTGACAAATAGTACATATTTTATAGTTAATTTTATAATTACGAAATGAAACATTTACCCACTTTTATATAAGGATTTATATGTTTAAAAAAAAAAAAAGATTCCAAAATCTTAACCCAAGGTGTCGTATAAAAACCCAGTTCTTGGGGGAAAGCCCAAGTACTGGCAGGCCTGATGAAAGGGAACGCTGTCAGCGCTGCTGTTGTTTCTCGACCACTTAGATTTACCAATTCCGACTGAAAATTCCGTGGATTCTAGATAATAACAGACGCATTAAAAAATGCTACAAGAGTTGTAGATGTTTAAAAAGTAACTCACTTAACACTATTAATTTACTAAGTATCTGAAGTTAATTACTAAAGAATAATCTTAGAAAATGCGCAATGATGGCCCAAATTAATTATTGGGATTTGAGGGTGATCAGGAAAAAAAAATATCCAACAGAGAATGCGAAGGGCTCTAAATAATGACAGATGCATGAACAAATGCTACAATGGTTGTGGATTTTTTTTTTAATGATTAAAATAACGTTAGCTAATTTAATAATTATTTTAAGTTAATTATAAAGCGGGAAAAACGGTCTCCTAGTGCAAACATATTGAATTCAAAGCCAAAACAGTGATGCCACTAAACAATTTTTTTAAACATGAGCTGTATTGCCAATCTTTGTGAAATTTCCCACACTTATATACAAATTAACGCAGAATTCAAAAATACAACACACTTTGCTGTAATCTAGCTAATTAAAAAGATATTTACGAAATTACTTACCGTTATTCACTGCGTGCTGCCCAAAAAAAATCGATTTATTTTATACGCGTCAAAACCATCTCAGGTCAAAGCCTGGCATCTCTCCAATAACTTCTAATAACTTTTCCGATTTTATCTTTCACGTAAAGAGCACAGAAAAATAATTTCTGAATAACAGACAATTGGTTTTCAAATTTTCGGGTCGCAATCGCGTCTATAGATACCGACGAAAATGTACAGCAAAATAAACGAAACAAAACGATCCATTGCCATACCTAGGTGTGTGTGTGTGTGTGTGTGTGTGTGTGTGTGTGTGTGTGTGTGTGTGTGTGTGTGTGTGTGTGTGTGTGTGTGTGCAATTTTAACTGGCTAGATGTCTCCACTCGTGTTGTCCTTATTTGCATGCATGGGTCCTGATTTCTTATTCTTTTTGTTTGAACTGGTATCCTTTGTTTGTTTGTTTTGTGTCTGTCCTGCCTCCTTATTCAGGCCGTGACTGTGGTGCATAAGTAGAAGTTCGGACCACACACTAGTTTTCGAAATATTCCTTTGTTGCGGGTGCTTTAACAAAATGTATTACGTGAGCTGTCTTCTCATTAACACGTCGTAAATAACTAACATACTACTCCTACACCTTAAAGGGCAACCCTAGTATGGGTTCCTTGGCCTCGTGCGTTAAAGGGCGAATACACACATTTCTTCCACATGCATGTCGTAAAAGGCTAAAATTATGGGTTTTCTGAACTATTATGTGTCAAGCTGAAAGGTGCATATATCACAGCCTAGCTGTGAAGCGCAAAACAACATGCCAAACGCCTCTCTAAAGGCAATAACGGGGGAAGAAGAAAAAGAAGAAGAAGAGAAAGTCAGTTCCAGTATTTTGTCACAAGACCACCAGCCTAAAGTGTTAACAACAACTCTGCGGCGACGAAATACTTGTCTTTAACTTGTGATTTATTTGTTCATTGTTGGAAACTGCAGACTGGACAGTCACAATGAATAATGTTGATGTTTTTTACGACAAAGAGGCAATCATTATCTTTAGCTGCATTAGGAGAAAAGGGGAAAAAAAACAACTTACACATTTTATGACAAGTGGAAAGATTTATTTGGGAAATTGATTCTTTACAAATCTGGCTGTGAAAGGATCTCGTGGCCGAGCAGATAACCTGTTTTCCTCGCGTTCTTAAGGTAATGGGTTTGGTTTACGATTGCGTCAATCAGTTTGTGAGTATAGGTCTTGTGAAGATTATTAACAATCATCACCTCGGAATCAGATGGGGGAAAAAATTCATGTTCAAGTGGAATGGAAATAACTGTTGTATCCGTGTTACCAGGTCTAACGATCGCCAAGTCTGCAAGCCCCGAACTTGTTACCAAAATTGGAGCAGAACAGTTGCCTACTCTGGTCTATCTCAGGGACAAGAGTTACGTCATCTATGATGGTATGTGATTTAACAAATGTTTTATTTCATGTTGTCAGCCTCCGGTATGTGAGTGAAGACATGTTATATTCTGTTGTCAGCCTCCGGTATGTAACTGAAGACATGTTATATTGTGTTGTCAGCCTCCGGTATGTGACTGAAGAAATGTTATATTGTGTTGTCAGCCTCCGGTATGTGACTGAAGGCATGTTATATTGTGTTGTCAGCCTCCGGTATGTAACTGAAGAAATGTTATATTGTGTTGTCAGCCTCCGGTATGTAACTGAAGACATGTTATATTGTGTTGTCAGCATCGCTTATGTGACTGACGACATGTTATATTGTGTTGTTAGCCTCCGGTATGTGACTGAAGACATGTTATACTGTGTTGTCAGCCTCCGGTATGTAACTGAAGAAATATTATATTGTGTTGTCAGCCCCCGGTATGTAACTGAAGAAATGTTACATTGTCTTGTCAGCCTCCGGTATGTGACTGAAGAAATGTTATATTATGTTGTCAGCGTCGGGTATGTGACTGAAGACATGTTATATTGTATTGTCTGTGTCGGTACGTATTTAAAAACGTTAACTATAAAATAAAGAGAAGATTATTAGTTTGGCTTTAACCATTTCTCTAATGACTATCTACTCTATGGAAAGACGGCGTTACTAAGAGCTCTCTGGGGGTCAAGTCGTTAGTGCGGTGATACTGAAACTCACTGATGCTTACACCCATCTCCTTTGGTCATTCACTTATTTAAACATTTCTTCCATCTATTCACTCATTCATACAAGTCCCTGACGTCTAGTAACTGCCTCTGGTCTCTGTGTAGTAGGATCAGACGCCTGTGCACTGCTGCACGTAAAAAAATCCTTTCGCAGTTGGAAATCGAAAAGAGTAGCCTAACGCCGCTGCACGGGCAAAATGTATCTACCCAAAGTATTTCAAGATCCTCGCTGGTGCAATGGAATTCGTGCACTGGGCTGGGATTCTTCAGACTCAGACTAGAATTAGAAGTAGAACGCCGCAATTATGGGTTGCAGCCGTGTGCCATGATGTTGATTTGTTGAATAAACATAAAACATAAACATTCATACAAGTCAAACTTTTCCCACAGGAAACTTTGCTACCACAGACATTGCTCAGTGGATCCTGACGGCATCTAAAACTATCATCCGAAGACTAGACGACAATTCTTTTGAAGACATTATCCCCACGGCTCCTGGAGTCGGTGTTGAAGACTGGTTGCTTGTTTTGTGAGTGATTCAGTTTTCTTGTCAACAAACGCACATTTTTTTTTTTTATGGCCTCACTATTATTTGTTTATTCTTTTTTTCTTATTTTATTGTTCCTTCTTTTCTTCTTCTTCTCCGTCTTCTTCTTCTTCTCGTTCTTCTGTTTCTGTTTCTATTATGTCTTCTTCTTCTTTCATGTTGTATCCTAGTGCTCTACCACAACATCCTGATACTCATTATCCCGTCATCTGTGAAACTAATATCTCCGCGAGCAACTCATTTGTCATTAGTCACTGGGATTGGAAGAATTACAGTTACATTGTGTGTGTCGTAGATGTGTATGTAAGCGGGTGTTGTAACTTCAATGTATCTATGCAAATTCCACCTGTTGTGCTAACTATTCATTAAACCAATTTTCAGTTATCGAGAACCTTGCAAAAATGCGCTAACCGCCGTGGAATCTTTTGGAGTGAAGTAAGTAAATCTTCTTCACTGTGGGACAATTTAACGTGTTTGTTTTTGGTCTGAATCGTTTTCGTACGAAACTTTGAATTGAAAGAAGACACGTTTTTCTCTCATTTGAAACTTTCCTTCATTGTCCTGTTGTCCTATTAGATTTCAGATAAAGTTCACAGTCTGTTTCTTCATTCCGTTCTATTACCCTGGGTAGTCAATTCAATATCATCGATGGAATTCAGTGCAGCACCTTTGGCTTCTCTTACTGCGCGTTCGTCTTCATGGTTTTCTTGAATGTCTTCGTTAATCCATCTATTTCCCATTGCAGTACCTGCCTGGTAGTTCTCTGTTCGTCTTTTCTCAGAATCTATCCATTTAGGCTAACTTTTCTGTCTTATAACTGTTGATACAAATCATTACCCAGACATCTGTCTTATTTATTCACTCCTCTTGAATTCATTCCAGTTTAAATTTACCATTTTTCTCAGTCACCTGTTTCCAAATGCATTCAATATCTATCCCATGTCTATACTGGTTCTCCAGCGTTTAAAAGTACGTAGCTTAGAAAATGTGTTGTTAATAAAATGTTGTCCGGCTTTAAATATAAAATTGTATAGTGAATAAAGCTGTGTTTAAATTTGCGATTGTGAAGTTGAGTAAAAGTTGTGTTTTTTTTTTTAAACTTTGGAATGCACAAGCAGCTGTGGTGATAATTATTTTATTTTATTATTGAAAAATATTCTTTGTTACTTTTTTTATCACTAGACAACACACGGAACCTAAATACATTTAATTTTATGTAAGAGACCTAAATAAGTGTTGCGGTTGTAATTTTAGTGTTACTTTCTCAAATATAGTATTTCACCTATCAAATTTTAATGTCAGTCATTGTTAATATTCATCATCATCAAGTGCCTTGCCAGCTGGCGTAATCGCTCATGCATCTCTACAGATCTCGGTCTTTGGTGTTCTGGATCAATTCCCCTGATGATATTCCTCCATGCCGCTGTCTTAGACCATCATTTCTCTTGGTCTGCCTCTGGCTCTTCTACCAGTGAACTTTCCAGACGTCACAATATTTTCCAGTGTTCCTTTTCTCATTACATAAACAAAGAACGTTGACTCCTTCTCATTCTTGTATATAATGTTCTGTTTTAATTTAAGTGCTACTTTCTAAAATTTAGAATTGTACCTATTGAATTTTAATTTCAGTCATTGTTAATGTTGCTTTGAAGTTTATTATAGGTTTACTATCTAGCATTAACAGATGGGTAAATGGTGTCGCTAAAATCTGCAAAAAAAAAAGATGAACGAATCCGCCACCCGAGCCACCCAAGAAGCGCAAGACAAAAACAGAAAAACCACGGGCGACAATCTGGTATCAGTGAGACGACAAAAGAAGGAGAAAGAAGAATGCAGTGTTAATTGTCCTATAACTGTTTTGCCCCTCAGAGCTTACGGGAGAATCAAGATAGCCAAAATCGTCGGTCCTGAGAACCCAAGGCTAACACTCCGCTTCAATGTGGCCAACTGTCCGGAGATTATCCTGTACGTAATTTTAGTCATATTTTAGGGCCTTGTCTCAAACTCTTCAATGTCTCTTGCTGTCTTGTTTCGCTGTGGCGATGTCTGCATCCAATAAAGATAATATTTTGGCTTTTACACTGTGAAAATAAAGGAAAGATAACATAAATCGCAAACTATACGTAGACACTTGTTCTTATAATAACAGCAGCAAGTCTACCAGGATATGCCAGTCATGACCTATGGAAATGAGTCACAGACAATGACAACAGGTCACAGAATGCAGCTTCAGGTCTTAGACATGAAATATTTGAGAATGGGGGTCAGACTGACAAGAATTAACAAAGTTCGCAACCAGACAGTTCATCAGAATCTTGAAACCCAGATCGTACAAACTCATGTGGTTCAGTCACAGCTACGGTGGTTTGGACATGTATGTAGAATGGGAGAGAATAGACCACCATGACAGACTTGGAAAGCTAAGAACCAGGGAAGCAGACCTCTAGGGTGACCCAGGGTCAGTTGGGGAGACAACATCCGGCAGTCCCTGACTGAGAACTGGGATGTAGCAAAGGAAAAAAAAAACTGCTGATAGAGACGTCTGGAGAGCTCTCTGGCAAAACTCTACACCACGAGATATGAAAGGATCGACTAAGTGACTAAGTGAGTATTTATTCCAGGAATCAGTAATGCATTTTTAACAAAAGTAAGAGCATCAAATATCTTATGCAGTAAATCGCCCTCATTTAATGTCGGAAAGAGGGTGCTAAAATGTTACATAGAACCTGTTCTGCTGTATTTCAGCGAATCTTGGGATGTCTGTGAACATAGGAAGAATTTGGAAGCAACAGAGGTGTGGTTTCTGAGAAGAATGTTACGAATACCTTGGACGGCCAGAGTAACTAACAACGGTTGCTTGAAAGAAGCTCTTGAAAATAGATCTTTTTATACAACAATAAGAAAGAGACAAACACTGTTCTTTGGCCACATAATGAGAAGAAAGACATTGGAGAACATCGTGAAAACTGAAAAGATCAGCGGAAAAAGGGCTAGAGGCAGACCAAGAGATGATGCTGGATGGGCTGAAACGATGGCATAGGAGGGGAGGAAAAGGGGAGGGGGGGGGGTTATCATCAAGAGAGCTGTTCAAGGCAACCAGGGATCGTGATCTGTGGAGACGCATAAGCGCCTACGCCAGTTGGCAGGGCACATGATGATGATGAATAGTATCAACAGTATCGATAATCGCAGTAGTTGTAATATTAGTACAAATAATTGTAGCAGCAGCATTAGTAATAGTATAGTAGTAGGGATATATGGCGTCGAACGTTGGGCTACAGATGTTGTAAAAAGACAAAAATATCGAAGACACCAATAGATCGAGCAGATGTAACACTAGAGACAAAAGTAATTCAAGTAACAGATTAATTTACTTATTTAGGTAGTATTTCTGTTAATGAAGGAAATGCACAGAAATAAATTAGGACTCGCATTGGCAAGGCAGCAGCAGGTTTTAATAACTTAAACAAAATTTGAAGCTCTAAAGTGTACAGTTTTAAAACCAAGTTACGCATTTCAGTTCTAATGTTTTTTTCAGTTTTTACATACGCGAGTGAAAGTGTGAGAATAACAAGAGTTATTGAAGGGGGGGGGGGGGGGAATACATGCATTCGAAAACAAATGACTGGGGGGAAATGAAGATAACATGGGATAAATTCAAAGGAGTGAAGAAATCAGAGAAATGCATGGGCAACCACTGGTATCAACAGTTAAATGTCAGGGAAGATGGTGCTATATTTTACACATCCTGAGAGGAAACCAGCAATGAATCACAAATATCAGGTATTAAAATGGGAGTTAGCGAGATTCAAAAGGCGAGGAAACACAAACACACAAAAAACTACTAAAATAAACGTTGATGATGGAGGCCAAAGGTGCTAGACTGGATTCCATCCATAACATTAAACTGATTGCACAGGATAGGGCCAATTGGAGGAATAGCCTGCGAGCCCTATGTGACACATAATGACACAGCAGGGCAGTGAAGTAGTAGTAGTAGTAGTAGTAGTAGTAGTAGTAGTAGTAGTAGTAGTAGTAGTAGTAGTAGTAGTAGTAGTAGTAGTAGTAATAGTAGTCGTAGTCGTAGTCGTAGTAGTAGTAGTCGTAGTAGTAGTAGTCGTAGTAGTAGTAGTAGTAGTAGTAGTAGTAGTAGTAGTAGTAGTAGTAGTAGTAGTAGTAGTAGTAGTAGTAGTAGTAGTAGTAGTAGTAGTAGTAGTAGTAGTAGTAGTCGTCGTAGTAGTAGTAGAAGTAATCGTAGTAGCAGTAGTAGCATTAGTAGTAGTAGTGGTAGTAGTAGTAGTAGTAGTCGTAGTGGTAGTAGTCGTAGTAGTAGTAGTAGTATCAGTCGTAGTAGTAGTCGTAGTAGTAGTAGTAGTATCAGTCGTAGTAGTAGTCGTAGTAGTAGTAGTAGTAGTAGTAGTAGTAGTAGTAGTAGTAGTAGTAGTAGTAGTAGTAGTCGTAGTAATAGTAGTAGTCGTAGTAGTAATAGTAGTATTAGTCGTCGTCGTCGTCGTCGTAGTAGTAGTAGTAGTAGTAGTAGTAGTAGTAGTAGTAGTAGTAGTAGTAGTAGTAGTAGTAGTAATAGTAGTAGTCGTAGTAGTAGTAGTAGTAGTAGTAGTAGTAGTAGTAGTAGTAGTAGTAGTAGTAGTAGTAGTAGTCGTAGTAGTAGTAGTAGTAGTAGTAGTAGTAGTAGTAGTAGTAGTAGTAGTAGTAGTGGTTGTTGTTGTTGCTTCTTTTATTGTGTTGATAATAGTATTTGTAATTGTTCAATTGTAGGTTATTTTGATTGACGTCGATGTTACTAACATTGCTATGACTGTTTTGAAAATGTTATGTTTGATTAAGTGTTGTGCCTGGTGTACTGACTGATACAATATTCTTACCGAATAATATGATTGAATATCCTGATTTAATTGTCTGATTGAATAAGCTAATTAGTGTTTTGACGGATTGCTCTTTTAAGCTGTTTGTATTTATGTAATTGTTCCCATAAAAGCATTGCACTGACCCATGCTGGTGTTGTTTTTGAATGGCTTGTCGTGATTGTTAACACAATAGTTCAGTCTGCTGCTGACAGTGAGCTGCCAAAAGTCTCTGGTTATATATGTGGTTCTGTGCGCCATTTGCGTGGCTAAGATCATAGTATGTGCGTCAGTCCTCTGGAATTATGTTCTTATCCTAGTACCTAGACCGCTGCATCCTGTGCCCCTCTGTGTTCCTTTTATCTTTCTGATTTTCCCCTGTTGGTCATCCTCTGTCCGGTTAATCCTCCTCATCATTGTGTCCTTGTGTCCTCCAATGAAAGTTGATACTTTATTGTCTAATTCACGGAGATGCCTATATTAGTGTCATGGCTGTATGGTGGCCCTGAAATTGCTGAGGTAATGTCCAAGTCCTTTTTAGAAAAAAAAAATGAAAAGGTCGACCACTTTCAGACTGCTACTAGCTAGCCGAGGCTGCTAACAGTCTCCGCCTATATTTGTGGTCTGGGTTAATTGCGTCACTTTAGTGACTGAATTCTAGTGTTCGTGCCATTTCTGGGCTTGATGCTTTCATCCGAATTAGACCGCTCGTCCTCCACCCTGTTGTTACTTGTGCATGTCTTCCCTCGTCTTACTTGGTCTTTCCTGTTTGTGTTGTCTCCCTTTGATTTGGCCAGGCTGAGGTAATGGCGGTTTTTACTGCTGATGATGTTACTGATAATGTATGGACTTTCCTGATTGGTTGAGATGTCACTGCAGCAGACGACAGTTATAAATTGTGCTCTTTATATTGCGAATATAACGGTTGTTATGTTTGGCCGAGAAGTTAATAATCTTGTAATGTCTGTCTTGTGTCGTAGATATGTTACATTTTTCTTTATTCGACTACAGCATTAAACAAGGCAAAGTCTACAAGTACCCTTCAGAGAAGGTGGATATGGCATCTCTGCAGGATTTCGTGGACAACTCATACAGCAAGTTGAAAGAAGAGACAATAGCAGATGACACTACGGATGAGTAAGTTTTCCAATGAAATCATTGTTGTGTAGTGGTAGTAGTAGTAGTAGTAGTAGTAGTAGTAGCACCAGCAGCAGCATCAGTAGTAGTAGTAGTAGTAGTTGTAGTCGTAGTCGTAGTAGTAGTCGTAGTCGTAGTAGTAGTCGTCGTAGTAGTAATAGTAGTAGTAGTAGTTGTAGTAGTAGTAGTAGTAGTAGTCGTAGTAGTAGTAGTAGTAGTAGTAGTAGTAGTAGTAGTAGTAGTAGTAGTAGTAGTAGTAGTAGCACCAGCAGCAGCATCAGTAGTAGTAGCAGCAGCAGTAGCAGCAGTAGCATTGGTAGTAATAGTAGTAGTAGTAGTAGTAGTAGTAGTAGTAGTAGTAGTAGTAGTAGTAGTGGTAGTGGTAGTAGTAGTAGTAGTAGTAGTAGTAGTAGTAGTAGTAGTAGTAGTAGTAGTAGTAGTAGTAGTAGTAGTAGTAGTAGTAGTAGTTTAAACAAATCCCTCTCGGATATATCGTAGATTTATAAAGGTGTTTTTCTATTACAATATTGGAAATGTATATTTATCGATTAGTTTTGTATATTTAATATTGCAAGGATTATGTATTATTTGTCGGCTCTGTGGCTAAGTCGGTGCGAACGCTTCGTAATGCCTGGATGCCGGGCTTGATCCCAGCTGCGGGCCGTGCGCCTTGCGCCTTGCGTTGGTTTCGACAGTGGTATCAAGAAAGCCGACCTTCCAGAAAGCAATGGCAAACTACTGGACATAAATTTGTCTAGAACTCTCAAAGAGGCAGGACAATTGTGTTTTTCAGTGAAATATAATGAATCGGAAAACCACACAACAGCCAGGGGCTGTTGGGGTTGGTTCTGCAGCGTCATGTAGAGGATACGCAACTAACCTCATGTATTAATTGTAACAAATTGTAGCAGTACGCCCTACTTTGTTAATCGATCGATCATCCTCATTACACACCGGACAAGTACATAAGCGCTATGAGTATCTCCCTCACCTTGTGGCGACCGATGATACCAGTTCCCCGTTGGTTTGCTGTTCTCCTTAGGCTACCTGTATAGACTTCATGTATGGCAAAACTTTTCACATGAAGTTCTGGTAGTCTTGTCAAGGTTTCCGATTCATTATATTTCACTGAAAAACACAATTGTCCTGCCTTTTTGAGAGTATAATATAGAACATCAGTCCGGTCGACTGTTTGTCCGGTGCCTACCTGGGACTGTCAGTTAGCTTTACCTCTCGTTCATTCCCTCTGACCCCATAGTGTCCTGGCACAACCAGAAACCGATTCCTGCCAGAATGGATTTCCTTAGAGACTCCAGCCATCGTTTTCAAACTGCTGCTGTGTTGATGTTCTTTTATGCACATGAATCAGTTAGAAAGCACACAAGGCAAACACGTGTGTTTCTAGCCAGGTCACTGCTTCTGTCACTGCCGTCGCCTCCATTGTCAGACTATAGACATCTATCTACTCAAGGTAAAAAAAAAAACCATATCTACTTTCCCTGTGGGCTACTGTGAGTCAGAGCATACTCAAGAAGATACATACAATAGACTGCACAATTTATTGCATGGTATATGTCGATGTAGCGGGGCCCGTGGCTTGGCATGTTGCGAGTCTGACTCGTAATTCCAAGGTACCGCGATCGAAACCCACTGCGTATTTTTATTATGGTATGGGGCGTCGCTGGTCGACCCAGCCTAAAATGGGTACCAGGATGTATGTCCTGGGGAAGTAAAGACGGCCGGCGTAATGCTGACAACATTACCCACCTAGTGCCGATTGGTCTGTAAAAATATGGGCGCTTGTCCCAAATGCCCGATGCACCTAAAGGCATGAAAAGGGATCTTTACTTCACTTATATGTCGCTGTGTCTCAATATTTTTACTTTTTTAGATTCGCCAGGTTTAAATAAATTTCGGTCATATTTAAATTCAAAATTCAAAAGATGTATTCTTAAATAATGGTTTGGCGATCAGCGACACAGGTCTGTCCGAATGTTGTCACAGAAAAAAATGCAGGTTTTCAAGATATGTACTTGGGTTAGTTTGCTAGTGTTGATTATTAGACTTTTGGTGTTCTTTATTAGACTTTGTATGTTGTTTAGTAGACTTTTATGTTGTTTATTGGACTTTCAATATTGTTAAGTAGATTTTCAATGTTGTTTAGAAGACTTTTAATTTTTTTTAGTAGACATTGTATGTTGTTTAGTGGATTTTCAATGTTATTTAGTAGACTTTGTATGTTGTTTAGTTGACTTTCAATATTGTTTAGTAGACTTTCAATGTTCTTTAGTGTACTTTGTCTGTTGTTTAGTAGATTGTCAATGTAGTTTAGTAGAATTTCAATGTTGTTGAGAGTTACTGAACTCTAATTCCAACCTCCGAGCTGCTGCCTAAAGTGTTGACATCCTGGGGTTACAAACATCGCATTTTGCATAGAAGCTAACTGGGGAAATCCGGATACCCCGTTCATCCTAGACTGAACTTATAACTGAGGCTTTAAAAGCGACCACACCAGCAATGGGTAGTCTGCAGGCGACGGGTGTTTTTGGGCGTTAGGGCCAGATGTGCACTAGAGCAGCCAGGAAATAACATGGATGTGCACTAGAGCAGCCAGGAAATAACATGGATGTGCACTAGAGCAGCCAGGAAATAACATCGATGTGCACTAGAGCAGCCAGGAAATAACATGGATGTGCACTAGAGCAGCCAGGAAATAACATGAATGTGCACTAGAGCAGCCAGGAAATAACATCGATGTGCACTAGAGCAGCCAGGAAATAACATAGTTGTCCACTAGAGCAGCCAGGAAATAACATCGATGTGCACTAGAGCAGCCAGGAAATAACATAGTTAGTTGTGCACTAGAGCAGGCAGGAAATAACATAGTTAGTTGTGCACAAAAGCAGCCAGGAAATAACATGGTTAGTTGTGCACTAGAGCAGCCAGGAAATAACATAGTTGTGCACTAGAGCAGCCAGGAAATAACATAGTTGTGCACTAGAGCAGCCAGGAAATAACACAGTTGTGCACTAGAGCAGCCAGGAAAAAACATAGTTGTGCACTAGAGCAGCCAGGAAAAAACATCGATGTGCACTAGAGCAGCCAGGAAATAACATAGTTAGTTGTGCACTAGAGCAGCCAGGAAATAACATCGATGTGCACTAGAGCAGCCAGGAAATAACATCGATGTGCACTAGAGCAGCCAGGAAATAACATCGTTGTGCACTAGAGCAGCCAGGAAATAACATCGATGTGCACTAGAGCAGCCAGGAAATAACATCGATGTGCACTAGAGCAGCCAGGAAATAGCATAGTTGTGCACTAGAGCAGCCAGGAAATAACATAGTTGTGCACTAGAGCAGCCAGGAAATAACATAGTTGTGCACTAGAGCAGCCAGGAAATAACATAGATGTGCACTAGAGCAGCCAGGAAATAACATCGATGTGCACTAGAGCAGCCAAGAAATAACATAGTTGTGCACTAGAGCAGCCAGGAAATAACATCGATGTGCACTAGAGCAGCCATGAAATAACATAGTTGTGCACTAGAGCAGCCAGGAAATAACATAGTTGTGCACTAGAGCAGCCAGGAAATAACATAGTTGTGCACTAGAGCAGCCAGGAAATAACATAGTTATGCACTAGAGCAGCCAGGAAATAACATCGATGTGCACTAGAGCAGTTAGGAAATAACATCGATGTGCACTAGAGCAGCCAGGAGATAGCATCGATGTGCACTAGAGCAGCCAGGAAATAACATAGTTAGTTGTGCACTAGAGCAGCCAGGAAATAACAAAGTTGTGCGCTAGAGCAGGCAGGAAATAACATAGTTGTGCACTAGAGCAGCCAGGAAATAACATAGTTAGTTGTGCTCTAGAGCAGCCAGGAAATAACATAGTTGTGCACTAGAGCAGGCAGGAAATAACATGGTTGTGCAGTAGAGCAGGCAGGAAATAACATAGTTGTGCACTAGAGCAGGCAGGAAATAACATAGTTGTGCACTAGAGCAGGCAGGAAATAACATAGTTGTGCACTAGAGCAGCCAGGAAATAACATCGATGTGCACTAGAGCAGCCAGGAAATAACATAGTTAGTTGTCCACTAGAGCAGCCAGGAAATAACATCGATGTGCACTAGAGCAGCCAGGAAATAACCTGGATGTGCACTAGAGCAGCCAGGAAATAACATCGATGTGCACTAGAGCAGCCAGGAAATAACATCGATGTGCACTAGAGCAGCCATGAAATAACATAGTTGTCCACTAGAGCAGCCAGGAAATAACATCGATGTGCACTAGAGCAGCCAGGAAATAACATCGATGTGCACTAGAGTAGCCAGGAAATAACATGGTTAGTTGTGCACTAGAGCAGCCAGGAAATAACATAGTTAGTTGTGCACTAGAGCAGCCAGGAAATAACATAGTTGTGCACTATAACAGCCAGGAAATAACATAGTTGTGCACTAGAGTAGCCATGAAATAACATCGATGTGCACTAGAGCAGCCAGGAAATAACATAGTTGTGCATTAGAGCAGCCAGGAAATAGCATAGTTGTGCACTAGAGCAGCCAGGAAATGACATAGTTGTGCACTAGAGCAGCCAGGAAATAACATAGTTGTGCACTAGAGCAGCCGGGAAATAACATAGTTATGCTCTAGAGCAGCCAGGAAATAACATAGTTGTGCACTAGAGCAGCCAGGAAATAACATAGTTGTGCACTAGAGAAGCCAGGAAATAACATAGTTGTGCACTAGAGAAGCCAGGAAATAAAATAGTTAAGCACTAGAGGAGCCAGGAAATAACAAAGATATCAACTGAGTCAACCATTTCTTTAATTTTATGTTTCAGCAATGACTTCCTGGACTCTGTCTTGACCGACTTCATCAAGGTGAACATGTAAATAATTATGTGTGTCAATGTTTACCTATGTGCAGTATACCGGCGATCCATCTGTCACTGTGTTAGAATATGTTGTTGACAATACATTGAATGAAGAACCAACATTACAGCAGTGGAACATTCTCATAAGCACTCAGTCCTCATCTTCAGCTGCCAGTGTACAGATCCAATTCAGATGATACCAGTTACAATTTGATCGTATGTCCGTCTTGCCTTTCCTCTTCATTATCGCCCACATACGCTGGTCACTACCAACTGCACCATTCTCTTCTAACCGTGATAATCTACTTTTGCTTCCGTTTACTCACTCCTAAAAGGCTTTGAATAAAATGCAATAATTTACGACCAAGTTGTGAAGTACCAGCCAATGTGTGTGTCTGTTCGTTTTTCAACACACCACAATACCCTGGAAATGACGTGCCTAAAGCCTGTGGGTTACCAGGCGATATCAGCGTCGTAAATAGTGTCCAAGGGGGAAAAAGATAAGACAGGTCAAAGCAGGTGGTGTGGCGCGGATGGTAGAACAGACGCCAGCAAAAGTCAGTCTGCACTGGGGAGATATCAGACGGCAGGCGGAGCCTTAATCCATGAGTACAAGGGTAGCAATGGAGAGAAGAAATTGTAAGAGTGCGAACAAAGGAGAGACAGAAAGGGGAAATAAGTGAGCAAAGGGGAATTCTCGAGAGGGGAAAAAACAAGTGGGGGGGGGGGGGTAAGAAGGGATGGGTAAGAGGGAGGGGGGAGAAAGATGGGAGAAACATATAGACAGAGAGTGGAGAGAAAAGAGCGGGTATAAGAGGAAGGCAGACATGCCTGAAGAGAGATCGGAAGAGAGAGGGACACGTGAAAGCTGAGAGAGAGAGAGAGAGAGAGAGAGAGAGAGAGAGAGAGAGAGAGAGAGAGAGAGTGAAAAGATCAAAAGAAGAAGACAGATATTGTTGTGCCATCAGAAGGGGAGTGGGAGAAATAAAATTTTGTTGTGTTATGTAGAAGTGCGAGGCCTAAACCTAAACCAGCAGACTGTATGCGAAGAAGAAAACAGCCTCAAGTGGCTAACGATAGTACAGCGAAGACGGAGTCCTTGCTGTGGAAGCGGCAGGGTGTTTAGATAAACAATCTGCCTTTCTCTCGGTCTAACGAAACGGTGCCCTGCTCCAACTTACTGTATGGTGATGATGAAGAAAAAGCTGTCGAATAGTCTTATCGAAGTACATACTGTCTATATTTACATACGCATTTATCAATGCGTTTTTTCCCCTCCAGATTCACCTACGGGGAGACAATCAGCCTATTGTTGTTGCCAGTCTATGCGCTGTAGTTGCCAGTTTGGTGTTCATCTTTTTCTGCTGCTGCCGTCCAAAGACCAGTCGTCGCCCAAAGAAGGCCAAGAAAGAATAATTACACATGAGCTGTGTGTCTGTCTGCATGTGTGCTTGCTACAGAATGCCTGACTGCTGTTAAAGTGTTTATCAGTATGTTATGCACTATTCCCATCCACTCGTTTTTTTTTCTATCTCATTTGTTCATCTTTTAAAAAAGAGAAAATTATATGCATGACTGTTGAAGTTGGTAGAAAACAAAAATGATAAAACTCCTCGACTCTTTCAGTCTGCTCCTGGTTGAGCGGTGACTATATCAAGTCCTTGTTTGTGTGCTGACTCTAGGTCGTTTTGTTTTTTGTAGGTGTTTGGTTGTGCCTTGCATGACTGCTAAATGTGTTCATTTAATAATTATTCCTTACATTCACACTCAAATCGATCCACTACGAAACAATCGTTAATTAGCTATCAAATCAACCACCAACTTACAACCACCACACAAAACAAACCAGCCACTAATTATTCAACTAACCCAAAGGTAAACAACCAATTTAAACACAAATCTGAATATTATCTCTTTAAATTCCGCACTTTGATGTTTCACAAGAGTTTGTGATTTATCCAGTTTCGTCCTTTTTATGATAAAAATTTGTTATTTGAAACACCACCCTGGCTTTTGCCAGGGGCCGCAATTTAGGCCAATTGTCTGAACGCGGTTTCTGGGATCTCTCCACGGCGATCCTCATCCACATGGTGGCACTTTGTGTCATCGGGTGTTTGTCGCTTGTGGGATGTCCTGGTGGGGTAGAAAGTCAGTCAGTCAGTCAGTCAGTCAGTCAGTTTCACAAGAAATGTGCTCACAAACTACATCATGAGATGTCAGAAATTGAAGGACATCCTGAGAATCTTGTAGAAAACAGAAGTGAAATGAGATCAGTTTAGGAGATGTTGGACAATTTGACATCTTAGCATGGAAGAACATCTAAATCGGAAGTGTCTGACAGTAAAGGAAAGAGTTTAACAGTTCATCGAGGACAGACATGGCTTCCAGTGTCACACAGCATGGACTGTACCATGTACAGGAGGAATCAGTGGCGATTTTAGCATGGAAAAGCTTTGTTATATAAAGAAACCAAACTTAAGCTTGTCCTTTGGTATTTACTGTTTTTCATGGGCAAAGTGTAACAAAGTCTCCACATATGATAAGTTGAGGTGACCAGTTCGTTCTCTTGCTTTATTAATTAATGTTTGCACTTTATGCTTGTCTGCGGTGTTGCTGCTTTTCCTTCTAAGACGAGACTAATTTGACAAGAAGCCTGCTAGTCACACTACTGACTGTGATCCCCGTGCTTCCATATAGCACAGTGTAACACTAACGTTTGCACAGAATAGAAGGTGACCGACCGAAAGGTGCTAAAAGCAAAACTAACTTGACAATAAAGTTATTTACAATAAATAACCATCGTGTCTGAATCGTTTGTTACTAACGTTGTTATTGCTTTCCTGTTGGCTTTTAGCGCCACATAGAACCCTTGCCTCAAAAGTTGAACTTGTTATATACGGTATTTGTGCAAGGCAAACAAAGAATCAGACAATCGCAGTTACAGCAAATGGAACACGCCATTGTTGCTCCGTTCCTGTGCCAGCGAAAAACCGAACAGAATGTCCATCACTAAATATTATGAAGTAACTGACACAGGCTGCCGTCTCGGAAAATCCAACAGCATGCTCAAGAATTTAATGCATAAGACAGCTGTAAAAAGTGTTAGCAGAAACAGTACTGAACTAGGAATGCATCTCTTCATCGATGGAAGCCGTAGTTACAACCCCCCCCCCCCCCAAGTAATTGCCTAAGCGATGATCCGCATAAATCAACACCAGTTCTGTACCAACAGGACACTTGCCGTTTTCTAAATCTACAACTCTCAATATTGACCTTGTAGCCGAAACGCATTCCAGATGAAATCTGCAGCTAAAATTGCCGCCCCATGCACTCAGGTCTGTAGCAGGGAAACAAAACTATTTCTTTTCTTTCAGTCCATGTATGGGGAGAAAAGGCAACCACTAACCAGTGTCAGAAGCACAAACGTGCCACAGCTAAAAGCATTACGCTTGCCTAAATGCCATACAGTGTTTTCTAAAAGTGGCCCTATGTTTTCTAAAAGTCGCCTTAGGTTTTCTTAAAGTAGCCTTCAGTTTTCTAAAAGTCGCCGTGTGTCCAACTCGTCAGGTACAGTAAGTAAAAGACTTGTACCATACACTGAATGGCTTAAATTGTCCCAAAGGAGAAAGCTATAGACTCATGTAACTATCTGACAGGTCAGCGACACCTTACTGAGCTATATGCACCTAAGACCTCGATACAACACCCACCTCATTTACCCAAATGTTTCATTTCACTTTATTTGAAGGTATAGCATCATATGTAGTGAGATAAACCCTCTCATATATAGCTGACATGACAACTTTACCTCCTCACCGGTCTACCCCCTCTTAACATAGCGACATGCCACCATCAATATTTACCCGTTTTGTCATTGTTTTTTCTATATAAGTCACAGGACCATATGCCTTGGAGGCACAGTTGACCCCTAAAACCTCCCATGTAACCAGCTAACGCGACAACTTAAACCCTCACTTATCCCCCGGCACCTAACACTATGATACGAAATCCGTCATTTTGACATACTTTTTCATTTTTGTTTACTCTATATAAGTCATTGCACTATATGTATAGGAAATCCTGATCGTCCCTGGTCTCCTTTGGTATGCGTGTTGATGATCGCCTATCTCGCCTATTTGTGCATTGCCCATCATCTACACCCCTGCGGCGTCCGTGGCTAAGGCGTTGCGAGTCCGACTCGTAATCCAACGTACCGCGATCGAAACCCACTTCGGGCTGTGTGGATTTTTATCGTGGTATGGGACGTCGCAGGTTGACCCAGCCTCACATGAGTACTAGGATGGCTGTCTTGGGGAAGTAAAAACGGCCGGCGTAATGCTGACCACATTACCCATCCAGTGCCGATTAGTCTGTAAAAATATACCATATACTCGATGCGCCTTAGGCGTAATAAGGAATCTTCACTTTACTTTTAATTATCATCTACACCCCAACATACCCTGTAGAGACATGACGTCCACACCCGTCGGCACGGCACATGATGATGATGATGCTTGAAAATAAATAACCAACCAAGCCCTAGATGACACCTGCCCCTATAATCACTTTTTTATATTTTGCTATATAGCATGCATACTTTCTGCCTCCCCCCCCCCCCTCCCCACCAAATAATTAGTAGCACTAGCTTTCTTTATTCTACTTTATAACCCCTAAAGGAACAACTGAACATATCTTCGCCATACGTAACATTTTAGAACAATGCACTGAATGGCAGAGAAATATAAATAAATTTTGTGGATTTTGAGAAAGCTTTTGACAGCGTCCATAGAGACAGTCTTTGGAAAATTTTACGACATTATGGAATTCCAGAAAAAAAAATAGCCAACATAATTGCTTTCTTCTATAAAGACTTTTCCTGCTGTATAAAAAATTACAATACATCTTTCCCAGTAAAGACATGTGTCAGACAAGGATGTGTTATGTCATCTCTCCTGTTCAACCTTGTGATTGAGTGGATACTAAAGAACACAGTAGACAGGACATACGATGGACTCCATTCACCATGCTTGAGGACCTTGATTTTGCAGATGATATAGCACTCCTATAACATAAACATATACAAGAAAAAAGTAACAGACTACACAGCACAGCAGAAATGATGGGACTGAGAATAAATACAAAGAAAACTAAGATCATGACAAGCAGTCCGAACCAACAACTAGTGACCATAAATAACCAAACTCTTGAAAATGTAGAACATTTCACATATCTTGGCAGTGTGGTGTCCCTGCCGGGAGGGACCGAAGAAGACATACAGTCACGGCTGAACAAAGCTAGAGCTGCTTTTGGAAGGATGAGGCAAATCTGGAAATCCAACAATTACTGCAGAGGAAGGAAACTCCGAGAACTGGGAATAAAGATCGGAACAGCCAAGCATGAGAAGCACACCGAAAGAACACGAAGTCTTGTCAACCAGCATAGGACTGGTACTGTTAACCGCGCAACACGGATGAATGTGTTCACAGGGAAATTTTAACACCTAGCGATGTGTCCGGAGTGTTGCGAAGATAATACAGTTGGGTTTCAACAACCGAAATCACAGCACTAGGGGCATTCCCATCAATGCTCCGTCCCCATCTTCAGCAGCCAACGAAGAGTCTAAACGCGATGGTATCAGTAGCAGTCTGATTGTATGTTCGCTCGCCTCGACCCACTGTCACTCACCGTTGCGCAATTCCCATCCGACCGCGGTAATCAAATTGTGTCTCTGCTTGTCATGCATCAGTTCACCGCAGAATAGTGCAGGTCAAGCCAGCCTATCTGCCTCTTCGTTTTCCAACACACTTGTATTTTCTGGAGAAAATATCCCCCCCCCTCCCCCACAAATGCCAGCTACTGTGGTCCTCTGAATCGATGCTATCTACTCGAAGCATACCATAGGCCAAATGGGTGAGAACAAGATGACTCTAAGAACACGAGAACCTCATTATGAATCATGTGTGGGTGTATGTGTGTGTGTGTGTGTGGGGGGGGGGTGGGGGAGGTGGATAAATGGATGCGGACAAGAAGTCTGTCAATAAGATGAGAACCCTTGTATGAAGAATTTGGGGGAAAATGGTCCGAATGGATTGGCTTTGTGTACAACTTCCGGGTTCCCCAAATTAATTGATCAATTGAAAGCTTACGTTGTGATTGTCTGTACACTTCATTATCATCATTATGTCATCTACACATGGCGTAAGTAACAACAACTGGACGTTGGCGCCGGTTATAACCTAACTTGGAGATCGATTTGGTGAATGAAAGCGTTTTGTGTGTGAGGGGTCCATGTTTGTGAGTGGAGCAGACGACGGAACGGTGCTGGGGTCGGCTCTTGACTAAAGTTACCTAATTCCGATACAAGATGATCTCTGCTTTGTTTTCTCTCACGGCGTTGGGTCGGGGCTTATTCAGAC